TTGACCAAAAAGTGCTGTTTCACCCAGGATGCGTGCACTCAGAACATGTCGTTTGCAAATAAAATTGTTTACTGTTTGCTAAATTTTTTCATGTCTTTTTCTGCCAGACTGCAGGTTATGCCTCTGGCTATTACTTATTCATATTGAGCAATAAACTGTCAACAAATTGGCGCCGTTTTAATGTTGCGACCTTTGTGCGTGTATTTGTGAACGAAAGAATCAACACAGGCTGCAACGATTCATAAAGCATACTAAGTGAAACCCCTAGCTCTTCCGTCGTTGGCAGATTGAGTCACATCGTTGCCATAGTTTGCTGACACTTTTTTATAATTTCATTATTTTTTTAAAGTTACATTGAGGTTTATTTGCACATTGTTTTCAGAATTTCAACCCGGTCATCATTTGAAAAAAATGTAAGAGCACAGCAAACAATTCCTTCCCGCCATTTGAATAGGTGTGGCTACTCTTAAAGTTGAACCATACACGTACATTTAGGTCCGTCTATTGCAGTTATCGTAAAGCACAATAGTGGTCTGGGTACCAGACTGAGCGCTCAAGTACAGGATGGAGTGGGATTTGGTGTTAATTGGCTGGTGACAGACAAAGCCTCTCTGGGTCATGACCTTAACGTGTTTGTCTGGACTCAGTCTGATGAGTGTGGGACTAGTGGGCATTGAATACTTGAATACTTGAAGTAGGCCAGAGTTGAATCTGAGATAGTTAGGTATATATTGGTTAGCAACTCTCCAGGGGGAAAAAAGGCTCTTAATCTTATTTGTTTATTTTTTGGAGGGTAACATTTGGAACCGACTTGGGTTCAAAGAAATAAAGTTAACAGACTTGAGTTGGGCATGTAATAAATTGCATTTCGCAATTGCAATGTACATACTGTGATGTGCTATACGGTATACCAAACGATGGAAAAGCTTTGTTCATGGACTATGGATAGGTGTGTGCATGTCAACCAGCAGGTACCAAGTCTAAGACTTGAAAAGCCTGTATTTGTCCAAGGTTATAGAAGGTTAGGTACACATGCACATGAGCAAACATCGTGATGTTTCTCACGGGTGCGTTTTGTCAGTCCAGCGAAAAATGTTTCAAAAAGGATAAAATCTGCAGGGATAATCTGCAAACAGTATTACTTTTTTTCTCAGAATTATATAAATATTATTCAAAAGCCCAGACTCCCTTTTCTAAAAAAAAAAGGAGTCTAAAAAATCTTACAGAAAATTGTAAAGTCAGTTTCCATTGAAATCATAAACAGAACTGTGTCCCTGAAATGTACATGTATAGCCTGCGTGACTATCCAAACGTTAGTGTAGAAATGTGGAAACCAAATATATTTTTTTCCAGTCTTTGGTGGGAATCTGTTTCGGAACACTTGTTTTTTAAAATAGCCACTGTGTATATCGGGTTGCGTTCAGGTAACTGGAAATAGCAACCAGGCGAATGCTCCATTAGCAAAGATCAAACACCTCGGCCCGACCCCCCAGCACCTGGTTCGGGCCTTGCATGGGGTCTGGGAACGTGGGCGAAATGGTGTCTTCTTACTCCAAGGGGTTGGATGGCTGGACTTCAGAGCAAGTCAAGCGTGAATGGCTTCAAATTAAGTGAAGTATCCCCTTCCTTGCTCTGTCAAAATGAGGAATGAGTTGCTGAATTACCTGACAAACGGCACGTACTGTCCTGAAGTGCAGATGACGGTTAGTGTACTTAAATTGTGTATTGATACACTACATTTTGTAGTAATATACAGCAGAGATGAAACGTTTCCGATTTTAATCGGCAAACAGACTTTTTGACTTTTCCAACGAAATTTTCTTACAATGTGTCCCACATTTTTTTGTAACGATTTTCCACAAAATGTGATTTTTATATTAACTATAATTTTAAAAAAAAAGGCGATGAAAAGTCGATGAAAAAAAACAACTGTATTACAGTTAATTTTTTTTTCTAGGCCAATGCTAGAGAGGGGTTTTCAGTGGTAAATAGCCATATCATATGCATAATTTAGTCCTGTATTCAAATTAACCCCAGAAAATAAAATGTACACGTCCTGTGTGTGATTGTGAGTTTGTTCTGAGAAAATGTGAAAAACAAAACAATACTTAGAAACTGCACATACAATGTATTGCGATGAGGTTCTAATCTAACTATAATGTCTGATTAAAATGAAATTATGGTTTGAAAACTATAGGGATAAAGTACCGTTAAATAAACATGCAATGATATTGAAAATATGTGCACTCTGTCCATGTATCGTCAACCATTGCTGAAATGTTTGTATAATTGTGATATGCACGGGCTGTGTTGTGTTGCGTAGTGGAGGTGGATTACCAGTTAATATGTACGACTACCAGTCAAGGCTATCATTTGCATACATGTGGTGTGTGTTTGTGTGAACTTCTAATCAATCTATTACCGCAAATATTGACCTGGTTACCAGTGTTGGGACTGTGTGTGTGTTTACCATAGCTTTCCCTGACTGGTAAGCCGCAGCATTCCATCGCGTGTTATCTTGTCTGCCAGTCTATTCACCTAGGCCGTGGAATGTGCATTATAATTTTTCTCGAACATCAAGTGTTTTTGTTTGTTCAGGGGAGTTTTTGTTTTCCTAGCCGACATTGGAACGTTCTGCTTGCAATTCAGAATTTCTTGGAGTTGTTGTTCCAGTGTCTTTGCCTACTCATCCCCAAACAATAGAAATAAAATAAATATTGGGGTTAGTAGGAAAATGAAGAAAGCATTTTTCCAAAACAAATGTTGACCAGTGTATTCTCTGCAAGTCATAGGGCTACCGGTTAAAATTCATTGGAAAATATCAGACTTCATTCCCATCTGTACATTATAATGTACCTGATTTTTGCAATTTCAACACATCTTCTCATCGAAGTAAGGGCATATTTTCAAATCCCATTCCTGTATTAAATTGGCAGTCTTCCGCTGTTGGATGTGGTTAATAAATAATACATTATGTACATAATTTGATATGTATGTACATGTACAGTACTGCAAACAGGTACACGTAGGCTGGGCAGCCATATTGCATGTACAGTAACCCAAGTAGACGATTATACTTTAGTGTTTCCTCTTCCGAGAGCGCTTCACACGATTATACACAAAAGACATACAGTCAATTACACAATCAATAAAAAAAACTGTACCGTGTTCCAAGTTTTCAAGTTTTTCCTTTCCGGCTTTTTGGGCTTTTGTACATGTACTAGTAAAACTACTTTTCATGCCCCTTGTCCCAGATTTCTTGCAGCGATTTAACAAACACCACAGATACCGGTACATCCACACAGTTTTTTTTATTGTGTCCTGTTCCTGCACCGTGTGCACTGAAGTGCCGTGTTTAATGTGAACACGGCTCGCTGTGAATTCTCACGACTTGTCCCCGACAATAGGTGCTAGGCATCGCACGGCGGGGAGGTTTTGTTCGCCTCTGAAAAGGGAACAGAAATTTAGAACATAAATAGTAGCATATTTACGAGTTGTTAGCACACAGTGTAAAAATGACGTGGAGAAAAAGAAAGGGTTTTGTGAGATTCTCCTTGAAAATAGGAGCAGTTCATGTTTTCACTTTTTTGGTCCCTGGAACTATTTGCACCGGAGTAGGAAATTTTGACACAAAAAGTGCATTGGACTTTATCACAGTGCCCCGATCGTGGACATTGTGGAAGATTATTTTATGAATGTACTCTCTCCTCAAGAGGTTGTTCTCAAATGCAGACCCGTCAGTGGTACTTGTACAAAAAGGACCACCTCATGATGCTTTGTAGTGCAAGGAGATCGGCATTTTATTGGGGGTGCACACTTGAGGAACCCCTCAATTATATCAAAGAGCATCTTACAGAAGCGGCTCCGTTTCTTCCTGTGAAACATATAAGCGGTCCTCTGGGGTACCCAGGCTGCTTAGCCAAATTGGAGGTCCTTAACATAATTCCTCACCTACTTCACGCAAGCCCCCCTCCAAAAAATACCACGACATTGTATCAACTGCTATGTACGCTCATACAAACTGGTCTTGCCCTCCCCGTTACTCTAAAGTTAGCATGCACACAAAGCCTAATACCTCGAGAGGTGTCGGTGTTTTCACTTGGCCCTCTTCACAAAGCAAGCACATCGAGGCAACTTCAAAAAGAACTCAAGACATGTGTGCATGTATGTACAGCACTTGGGTCAATCGGTCATCTTCCCTTGGCGGTCAGTATCCCTCTCGCTCCCAGCTCTTTTGTTGTCGTGCCTTGAGCCAATGACCGGCCCATTGTCCCGTCTTTAAGTGAGCTTAAAAAGCATGTCAAATTTGCTCAAGTTTGTGTGTGCAGGACAGCTGAGTGGAAAAGAAGAAGAGGGCCACAAAAAAAAAGATGCTGGCAATACTAGTGACAGTTTTCCTTGAAAGTAATAACATTCAGCAGTTTTTGACTTGGAACTTCCGCTCGCGGTTAACTGTCTTAATCTTAGTGGTATGTCTTTATTTTTCCCAGAGGTCAAGGAAGTAGAATTCCAGTTGGACAAGGCCAATTACTGATCTCATTAAAGTTAATCAACTCAAAATGCATTCTCTGGTGTTTAATGACTTCGATCAATGTTTGCCCACTCTGAGTAACCCTGACGCCTCCGCTATTCAAACTTTCAGGGGGGAATGGAGGCACGGTCAGATGTGTTTACTCTGATTAGGAATTACACATGTACGCGCAAAAAGGCTGAGTTATGCGAAAACAAGTTTGAATGACAGTTTAATTCAGTGGACCGATTGCAAACACCCCGCAACCCAATGCACGCCACCACGGAGCAACATCAACCTAGCCCAGTGTGTACTGTTGGGTACCCTTGGTCCAACAAACAGTAGGTTATGAACCTGTTTTTTTTTATCTGTTTGCTCTTTTCCCGGTAATGGCTCGGGAATTGTGATACTTTATTTTTTACAACTCCTAACAAGAAATGTTGTCAATCGACTTCTCAGAGTTATAAAACTTCACAGGGGTTAGGTACGGGTCACTAGAACTGTTGCGCGTTAGCAACGGTCAAGTGGGGTCCAAAGCAAGGCCGGCTGACCTGCTGGACGTCAGATTGTTTGAGAGACCCCCTGACAGTTGCATTGTAGCGTTGGAAGAGACAAGACGTGGGACAACACAATAATGGGTGTCGTATGCTCGGTACCTCGGCTCAAGTTTAGAAACAGGTATGTTGGTTCACAGACTAACTGAACTACATATGTGATAAAACTTAAGGCTAATAAGGCTTAAATGGGATCAGCGATCATTAGCTGTCAGATTAGAAAGCCAAATATGCTCAGGTGGTCCAGTTTCATGTTGTCCTGAAGGTTAGTTTAAGTAGTAAACTTGGTCAGTAATGCGTTGGTTTTGCCTCCTGGAAAGTGTACGGATTAGGTAAGATTAGGTGTGTATAATTTGTTACTTATTTTTAGGTACAGCATAAACTTTACTCATGACTTAGATTTGAGCCTGCTCGTCTGGCTCAGGACTTTTTACTACATTTACCTGGGGCCAGGCTTGACTGTACAACACTGGCATTGACCAAAAACTCTCATGAAATGTGAGTTCTGATACTGAATACAAACATTGAGTAGATATTGTCATAGCGCATCGATAAGCATTCCAACTGTATCCAGACTACCCTGCTTGCTCTTTAATAAACAATCACATTTTTTTACCTAACAACATTTTGCCAAGCCAGGCACGGAAATGAGTAATGTATGTCCCTCACAAGGGCTTTTGATGGATGCAGCACGATGTAACATTGATGTAACCGGTCTAGTCAGTAAATCAGATTTTTTTCGGGGTCTGGAACGATCCATGGGTTTCTCCCTAGATCCCCCATTTTGCTGTCCAGGAAATGAGCTTGTCACACAGCCCTTCCCCTCCTTCATTGAGTAGATTGGAAAAACTTGGTCCTGGTCATGCAAGAATTTGTCATGAAATGTTAGTTAAGTAGGCTTTTTCTTTTCCCCGGGCTACTTGTAGTTAGAAAGACCTCGTGAGTGTGTGTTACTAAATAACAAAGAAATGTTCTATCACTCAGTGAAAAAAACTCATGTTTTTAGCCCCAAGACTACAAGGGAAAATAATTGTTTTCATGTCCAATATTTTAAAATTCAGAACAATTTCAGCTACATTTGTTAGGTGTGAATTGTTTTCCTTTCTTTTTGGCTTCTTTTTCTTCTAGCCCTTCATTTTTTTTCCTCTTTTGAATGTGAACGTGCTCAGTATATTTTCGTGCCTTCGTGGTGATCGAGTATTAAGAAAAGTGCACTTCAATAAGGTCAGACAGTTTTCAATAGACATTGTACAGCACAAGAAAGCATGGAAGAACCCAGTATATTGTCTGCATAAAAGAACGGAGGGATCTATATATTTTTGTATCGATCTGTTGGCCAACATTTCGCGATATGTTCGGGCTGCCTCATTTGCATATTGGTATTTTATTATGGCGCGCTCTACATCCTGTATTGAGCAAGGCCAGCCGCACAAAAGGAACAATTGGTTATGCTGCGGGTCTGCCAGTATTTATTCTTCCCCTTGCTCTTCGATTCTTTTTACCAACCAGGTTGTTTCAATGCAGCAACATTCTTTCAGACCCGTAGATTATTTAATCCTTTTCACAGATCAATACTCAAAAAATCCCCCCCAACCTCCCATCTTGATCCTTTTTTCTCTCTTAAGTCCCCCCCCCCCCACCAATTGGCTCCAAGCTATTCTCCCTGACCACATTTGTTGTCGATCCACAGGTCCCTAAAAGGCATGTTTTGATTGGCTAATGCGGGCGGACAATGGCAGGCAAGCGGCCACGTTTGTTGTTGTGCCGTCAAGCGTGCAGGCGGGGTTTAGGGTTAGTGTGCGACGTGAATGGGTACCGTACCATGACCCCTCCCATCCCCAGCTACGCATAATCAGGTGTACACATGAGCACAGTCATCGGATCCGCCAGTGCATTGTATAAATACAATCCGTCTGACGTGTTCCATTGTGCGCCCCTTCACCCATTGAACCACCGGTCTTGGTAGCCCACGAGTGCCTTATAAACCCAATCACGGAACTAGTCAGCATTCAAAATTGAAACTCTCATCGGCGCATACCCACACAGACGTTTTGTAGTTTATTACTCCAGGATTACAATCACTAGTGTGTTGCAACCGTGGGAACGCGAACCGGCAGCTGACCTGATTTGGATGATTAAGCAAATAGCAATGGGGAAGAGCGTTTGCATCATTCTCTCTTCTAACGTGGATAATACTTGCACGTTGTTATTCTCATGATGTCTACTGGATTGTGTAATTGTAATATACCGGTACAGAGAATTGCATTTCAAAGGTTAGTGGCAGTAGATGTTTAATTACATGATGTTGCTTATTAATTACTACATGTTTCTCTGGAAACCTAGTTTATGTTCACATAGCGGCAGGCTGTTCAATACTGATTTTGAAATGCCGATGTGTAAAGATTGTCTTTGTAAAACTCGCTTTTAAAATACATGTGTAACCCTATCCCCGAATCATGTTTGCCTGGGAGCTTTCTGAATCTGCAAAAATTTAAAATGTAATTTAAATTTAAAATTTAAAAGGATGAAAAATGACTACTTTTACATACATGTAATTGGCATTTTTTCCAGCAACCCAAAGTTCTATTTTCATGATTTTTTTTCAGTATTTGAAAGAGAAAGCTCTCAGCTTTAATCTGATACCCAAAATATAAAAATGATGGCACATTGTGTCTGTTCAGACAATTGAAGCTTATACTGGCTTGGCTTTGCAGACCAGAATGTTAAATGTTGGCACATTTGGAATTGGAGAAGTAATGCCGGAAGGCCTGGTTTTTTTTTTTTTTTGGTTTACAGTTTTAATGTTGAAACAGATGTTCATTCCAGAATTACATCCGTGTTAAAGATGAGAGATGACTAAATGAATATTACAATATTATAAACAGAAAACCATCCTGCAAATAATCAGTAACAATTTTTATTTTTTTAAATCCAGTTTAGTGTCATTAGATTATTAGAATATATCATTTTTATTCACATCAAGAGTAGCCAAATATTGCTATGAATAATTTCTAGACTGACCAAATCAAGTAAAAATAAAAAAGCAAAAAGAAAACCAAAACCGAAAAACTGAATGTACAAAATTTATTCTGTCGCAGACAACAGATGTTTAATGTTGTTTCAGTTTTTTTATGCACTGATACAAAGCAAATGAGTTAATCAATAAAACTGTTTCCGGCCTGGTGTTGCTTGCAGTAATACTGTTTCTCCAGCTGATGAAAAATTATTTTTTTAAAACCAAAAGGTCAAGACCATTAACCATAGTTAAAAATCTTAACTAGATTCTACAGAGTTACCCTAACATTCTTCAGAGGAAACTGACATTCTTTTTTTCTTTTTCGGAAATACATAACTTAAACTAATTGATTCAACAAATATCATAGAAATGAATTGTCAATTTTTTTTACAAGAATAAATTATTATTGGTAGTATTAAGAATTGACATATATTTGCAATTTCTGTTCCAGTATAAATGTAGAAACAAAAGAAGATGCTAAATTCATGGTTGCCAAAAGTTTGACAATTAAATTGCAATTTTTGTAAAAAAAAATAAAAAAATAGAAAGTTACTTTGACATAGATTTGCAAGTTTAAGATCGTTTGGTGGGCCTATCTGTTCTGTAAACTTAATAGTTTGACCTTTTCATGTTTGTGCACAACCTTACCATTGTCTTCTCGTCTGTGTCATGATCACGCATGGCACAACCCTCTATGTGGGGTTACACCCTCCATCAAACAATGCCGGCTAAATTTAGACAGGACGTTATGGTTACCCAGCGTCTGTCTTCAGGGTTTTTTAATTTTTTTTTTTTATTTTGGGAACCTTTGTTACCCATTTTTGAATGACGTGGGCCAGACTTTGAAATGTGTGGGTTGGGCTTATCTAACAATACCCGCCGCACACAGCTTGGCACAAACGATATCTACTCGGGCATTCTCAAGTTTGGCTTTGTCCTCGTAGGGAATTGTTCATGTTTGGATCTTCGGCCTCCGGAAAAAATTGTTTTGTTTTGAGACATCCTTATAAACGTGGCTGCTGACTTTTGTTGGTGGTTGGTGTAGTTTGCTAAGGTTGAGTTGTTCTGTTGAGTTCATTATGAATGGCGTGCGTAAAGCTAAAATGCTGGTCCTATGAATTGGCCGTCTGTAATGAATGGGTGTTGTGGGCTCAAACGATCTTGATGAATTACTCACGACATGCTCACAATAGGATCTGGGTGGGGAGGGGATTTTTTTGATCGAATTTTTTTGAAAAACTGGTGGGAAATTTTTACAGGGAGATGTTGTAATAGGTGAGATGACAGGACTTCCCTGTTGCAATTGGTGTATTGCCGCATTGATTGCAAACTAGTTAACGAAAAAAACGAAAGAATGTGGGATTTTTTCTGCTGAATCACTCAGTTCTAAAGTACCAGGATTTGTCAGTAGTACTTGGAAAAATGACACACTATGGGGAACTCGTAACTAAAACTAACTAACCTAACTTATCTAAAGTCAGGATCTTAATTTGAAGAGAACTTTTTTGAGAAAAGAAATAATAGAGACACCGGCCAAAATTCTAGATTTCAAACCAAACAAAAGCACTTGATGAACTGTCCACCGAGCCGCATTCGATCCATGTCACAGGCAATTTAGAGCCTCCCCAAAAACCAGGTTCTGCTTGAAAACAAGTTGAAGTCGAAAATGACTTTCAGAAAGGTGCTAGTCTCATGAAAACAACATAGGACTCAAAATCTGTGGACATTTTTGATACTTTGGTTAGTGGCAGCCTGTTTGGCTATGGACCATGACTTGTTTATATTGTTTGCCCTAACATCCGCAGGTACACATTGATGTATAAGATGTTGTTCTGTGGCCATGATGCACTTGTTCACTTCCTCAGAGTTCTTGTATGTCTTCTAAGAAAGGCCCAAGGGACAATGATAAAAAGAAGCCACTAGCATAGGTGCTAATCCGGAGGATTAGGGGTGTTCTTAACTGTCCCAAGTATCACCGCTTGTTTATGCCGAGGTGTTTACTACAGGACCAGGTCCTTTTCTAACCCAGCACTAATCAATAAAAACACAGTGTTTGGCTATTGAGGAATTACATGCAGCCCAGGTAAGATGTTGTTCTCTAGCCATCATCTGGAGGTTGCTTTGTCATGGACTGCGCTGTGGATGTGCTTTCTTGAGTGGCTGTTCGATCAGGTGGCTTATTCAAGTTATTGGACTGATACTTGGAAAGTGGATGTGTTTTAGCATTGTTACACACGGTGCCCATCTTTATGTAACTCTTGGCTAGAGTTTGTTGATATGATGGAGTGAGTGATGTACACGTAGTTTCATTGATTATTGAGGCCCACTTCCAGTGTTTTGAGGAGCAAATCTTGGAATAAATACAGCACTAGCTGCAAATGGTGAGTATTTTTCCAGTGTATCCACTCAGTACTAAACAGCGGCAATTTTGCTGTTGTAACTTTGTATGTGAGTACTTGTAGGTTTATTTTTCTACAGCATGGTCTTTGTTGAAATTGTGGCGAGGCAAATTGCTGTGTGAAGTTCAGTATACTTCTCTGCTGTCAATACATGTAACTTCAGGTGGTTTTGGGTCTTGCACTGTGTATTCTGCAGTGTTTTTTTTTTATAAAGGGTTTTACACATTGATCTGAATATTGACTTCCCACTAGGAGGCCTATAGACTTTTGAAAGCATGAGTGGTGAAATACAAATTAAGTTTGAAGTATACAATGATTTGGCTATCTTACTTTCTTGTCTCTTGTGGCCACTGTTGACCGGTCAAGTTGGCGGGCCATACACATGATGTATGTGCACGCGTGTACTTTTGTCTAGCTACTTGGCCATTACCAATGCATTCTTGTCATTCCCAGACAGGTCATGTCTAAAACCAGAGGAATTCTCCACTTGGGAGAAGTTTAGGGAAACAGCACTTGAAGTGAATATCTCTCAAGTCAAAGAGACTTGGGTTTTCTGAGAGAACCAGAAGTGTTACCTCAATGTGTTAGTCAGTATGCTTTGACTTTCAGACTTTTGTCAGAAAAACCTGTGAAGCTTGACCTCACAGTTCTAGAGTCAGCGACTCCGCATGGTGCATTGGCAAACTTCTATCAAGGTTTTACTCCCGAAGTCAAACCCCATGTTGCATGTAACTTTTCATTTGTTGCTCATTTTACCATTATGATTTAATCCCTACCAAGCAAGATACTTTAGTGATTCTTTTTGCAACCCTCAACACATTTGGTCCCTCCAAATTTCTATCACAAAAAAACTATTCATCCATAGAAACTGAACTTTTCAACACACGTTGGAATAATCTTGCCATGACTTCAGACTGGAACACCTCTGCGTTTTTTTCCTTTTTCCCTCTTTTCCTCGTTCTTTTTCACGGTGATAATTCATGCTTGCATGATGCCTTTGATATTGCCCGCCTACCTTGCTCACGGGGCCTACCCCCAGCTGTTTAGTACCTACCCCTGCCCTCTTAACTCCACCAGACTTATCTGGCCAATACAAACATCGGAAGAGATCAGACAATTAGTAAAAAAACACAGCCCTGTAATTTTTCTTCAGGTTAACTCCCACGGGGTGACAAATGGGCCTCCGGGGAAACACTGATTTTTTTTTTCTTCAGTCGATTCTTTTTTATGACTGATTCCGAACTTGTTAGGGGGGAAAACTGTCAATGGGTTCTGTCAGCTTTGCTTGATTTGAAAATGATGGATTAAATTGTGGTCATTTTTTAAGAAAATATATTAAACGTGAGGCGTCAACTGCGCTTGGATTCATTGACTCATGAAATAAAAGTCATGATGTCTGAAGGCACTAGAGGCATCTTTTAAAAAAATGACTAATAGTTGCCGTTTGGCTTTTTACTTTAAACGTGTATAAATTATTAAATAATGTTGTGATGAGAAAATAATGGCTGGAAGTCCTAGAGTAATTTAACTGAAATGACCATGTTATTTAAGATCTAAATATTCTCAAGATGCTGTTGCATGTATTACATGCACATGTGGCAGTTGCGTGTGCACTTTTTGTAGCACGCTTGTTGAATTATGAACCTCTTGTGTAGTCCATCATTCGGTTTATTGACATCACTGATGATTGTAATGTATAACTTTGCTTGTCGCAATTTCTATTTCAGGAATATAATTCAACCCGGAGACTGGATTGTAAATCTTTTGATTTCTAAATAGTTTATAGTGTCTGGATTCTCCATGCATTTTTACAATATTTTGCGGTCTGACTGGCTTCCAGAAAGAACGCTACCAGAAGTGCTTTGGCACGATTGCACCCTTGAACTAGACAATGGTGATGTCTTGGATTGTTTTCTCAAAAGATTCTTCTGTCGTGACTTCACAGAGTTGGTTGAGTTCAGGGTTAGGGATTGTTTTATCTTCTTGAATAGCAGTGTCTTTTCAAGTTTGGAATATTTTTGTCGGGCATCCTGGGTGCAGGGACACACGCCACATGGTGCCTGCTTCTGCTTTTGTGGCCCAATAATCTGGTTAATCTTTTGTGGTTGATCTAATCCTGTGTGGAATAAAGGAAGGTATCAATCCGCTTAATCCCCATGCTAATCCCTCTGCCCTTGGTATCCTTCAGCATATAAATGGGTAACACACAGACAGGAATCGATTCAGCTGGCGCATCATCGCAAAACCACAGCATGACGAGGACCTATAGACAAACGGAGTTGCGTGTCGTCATGATGCGGCTGTTTGTCTAGAAGAACCTTGGATTCTCCAGCACAATGCCGCGCTGTCTGTTCATTATGGATCCTTCTTTTGAAATGTTAATTGTGCGCCGTTCTCTGTAAATTAGCATCGTCTTCTTTTTGGTCGATATCAAGTAAATGTAGGCCACGCATGAGTACAGAAATGAAATTGCTCTCATTGGGGAACAATGCAGCATCAATTTGGCAAAAAATAATTTTGTTTTTGTATTGTGGATGTTTTTATTGTGTTAAGCTTATTGTGTTTGGAAGGTACTATGTGCGACGTGTTACTGAATGTTCCAGTTTCATAAATTAATTGTAAGAAAATACTACAATTACAAAAAAAGACATGTCAGCTGCTGTTTTACAACTGGGCTTTGCATACACACATTTCTCTTAAAATCTCGAGCAAATCTCAGTAACTCCTTGCGATCATTTTTTTGTGATTGGCTTTGACTAATGTTTAGTATTTTTTCTCCATCTTAATTCTGTCATTTCAGAAGTGGATCAGACCTCCGTCTCAGCCAAACCATGAAGCAGACAGACTACTACAAGCCTCCGTTGTCGGACTTCAATCCGCATGAGGTGAAATCGCCGCGCATCTACGACGCCGCACCCTCGCCACCCCCGCAGACGTACGAGAAATCAGGATATATACACGACATCAAGAAGGCTCCAGACTACGAAGTCCATCCCAGCTCAAAAGCGGCCGTTGGTGGAGTTAATAGGAGAGTCAAAAAGACAGAATCGTAAGCATTGAATATTATTCTGATGATACATCTTTGAAAATAGTTGTTACATTCGTAACACATCGACCCTTCAAAGAACACTGCCTTTCAAATACACATACAAATGTACATGTAAAAAAAACATAAGCATGTGTATTTAATACAATGAAAACAGATTAACACGTTTATTGAAAACAATTCTTCAAATTGTGTATGCATAAAAAAATGCAGAAATTTAGGCCTAGATAAATGGTGCTGTCATTGGTCAGATGGTCAGGGCGTGGAAATATATTTGGAGCATGTAGTTGGTGACCAGTAGAGGTTTTTTTTTTATATTAATATTTCAGGTATTCACTTGAATAACATTTGTTCAATTTTTCCCAGCAGTATTTTTTCACTTCAGCGACTTTAATAACAAAAAATTACACTGTGCATGGTATCTGAGGCACAGATACATAACTGCATACATAACTGTTTGTTAACTTAATATCATGCAAGTACAATGTATGCTTTCAGACGAACATTTCCACATTTATTTACAGAAATTCCACAAAGGAGTCTCATATAATTATCATGTTCATTCACAACCCAACCAAGGCAGATCATGTCATACCACTAAATTTACACTCATACTGAAAATGGAAGAGAGATTTTTGTGATAAGTCTACCATGAGACTACACTGTTCTGTACATTGGATAAGCAGCGCTCTTCTGAACAATAAATGCAAGCCTGACAGATAATGGAATTGTCTGGCCAGGCTTCTCGTGCCATTCAACCCTGCAATCTTTTCCCTGAAGTGTTTACTACAAAGAGAGGTGTTATTTTTTTTTGTAATCTCCGAAGAAAGGAATAAACCAACAAGGATTGTACTCAAATTAACAGATTTTCAAATAAAGCCGTTCTCAGAAATATGGAGCCTCTCGTGCCTAAAACTGAGTTGGCAGTTTGTTGGAAACCGGTTGAGTGCCCACTGCAGCACACAATGACTTGGGTGACCTGCGTGCTGTATTGCCCTATGGCAACGACCTGTAGTGTACATAAATGTCTGTGGCATCACCAACTGTACGTCATCACTCAAATATGCGATATATCTTCCCACACTGTGTGCACATGGCTGTATCACTCCTGTACAATTATCATTAGACTGGAGCCACCGTGTAACAAAAGCAATGTGGCATGAAATACATGTTTACTGCCAGTCACTGCTCCACTGGCTGTGTGTGAGAGCACACAGTACCGGTACATACGGACACCAGTAATGTCAACCATGCACATGTAGTAGGCCTTGCTTTCGAGCTGTCGGCTTTAATGAGTTTAGAACGGTGAGAGGATATATGCATGTTGGATCTGACTATTCTCTGAAGTTGCTAGTCCATTGGATATTCACTGTTTGAGGGTTTCTTCCAAATCGTTTATTCTGTGGATGGACTTTGCAAGAAGTCATTTGTCTAGAACTCTATATGGAACTACATGGATGCATGATGTACAGTAAGTCAGTGGTGAGTTACTTTTATTGATTAATGTGCGTCAGTTATGTATTGTAGGCCCAAACCTAGATGGTATTTTGCTAACAGTATTGCTATGATGTTGGGCTCGGACTGACTTTTTTGCCATTAAAAATTGTAACAAATGTCCCTGAATCCAGTTGGATTTGCAGCTTGGAAAAATATCTAAAATCCCTGATAAAATAGGGCCCGTTTTCCACATGACTGTGTTTTCGCTGTTGGTGTTTATCCATTTTCATCTTCATTTTTTCAATGCTTGCATTAAATAATCCTAAAGTAGTGCTTTTGGTGATGATTGCTTGTAGTAGATTTAAACCACACGTCAGCCAGCATGTCTGCTTCCAAACATTAGCAAATAACAACACTTGTGAGCAAGTGTAAATGAGATCTTCGCAGCGTTTAATCAAATATGCAGTTTGCCAGATGCCTAAGTTGATGTCACTATTCTACTTTGTTCTTCAAAGTCTAAGCTTGACAGAGTCGAGGTTAAATTTGTGTCCTGCCGGGGCAGCATTCAAGGTGTAAAACTCACTCGTCCTTAAATCTTCAACTCATTCCAAAAATACATGTAGAGTATGTCATATTTGAAAAATTTCAAAATGGGCATCTTGGCAAACGGAATGTCGATAATGCGGTTTGTTCCTGTCAGTACGTTGGTAGTTAAGGTGCAACGTGTGTGTGTGGTTCTTTGTTGCTTTTGTGACAGGGTGACCTGTATCATGAATTTGCCTGCAGAAATGTGCATACCACTCCAGTTGCGATCTGGAGTGAGTCAGATGTTGGAATTGACTGCAGGGCAAGAGATGCATTCTGTACACCCTCTCACATTTGACTATGGCACTGGACAAAAAAGGATGCTTCATACAACGACTTGGCCCTATGTGTATTCCTGTAGAATGGAACAGTGTACCATAATACTACCAGTTGCCATGTGAAACAGTGCCTGGTTTATGCATTAACAAGTGCTTATTGTTCATTGGTTAGCCTTGCTGATTTCCTGTTTTTGTTTTAGCACTGTGCAATGTGCATTTTTTTTGCTTGTCAGAGTACAGTCGACTCTCATTATAAAAGCACGTTATAAAGAGGTTCTGCTTATAAAGAGCAAATTCTGAGGTCCCAATCTCAAGTTCTCTTTGTGTTACTTTGTTTCGCTGTCCTTTTATAACAACATTCCTGTTATAAAGAGGTAATTTGGCTAGTTCCAACCTTGTTATAACGAGAGTCGACTGTACAGATGAATTTGTGTCTCTCCCCCCCCCCCCCAACAAAAAAGAGAGATTTTGTACATGTCCATGTATACCCTTCCCCATCATTCTTTGTGGTTTTTCAAATTCAGAGAGTTATTTGAAATATGCTTTGCTGTAATTTCAGTGAAAAATTGTCCAGTTATTCCATTCATGGTTTCTTGCAGGACAAAGAAAGGCTATACGTGGGTCCTGTTTCAGTTTTTCTTTTTTGTTCAAGCCAAAATTTACAATTTATCTGCGTCACTGTTATTGAAAAGAGATGAATGGTCTAACTTCATGTCTTTGTTAATTGCAACGGCACGAGTTGTTAAATTTAAATTATAACCTTGGTGGGGGGTCATTATACATGTACATTGAATCAGTTTCATTACAAGTGGTCCACTCTAGGTCCGCATACTTTCCCGATTACATAACCCATGAATGGAGAGGAACATCCTGAAAACGACAGGATGCGGACAGAAAACTCAATAGGATTACGTGTAATGGCGGTTTTATGATAGAATACACTGGCTACTAATATGCGGGGGCACATGTGTGCGCCATATTGATCACAGGAAATTGACTTGTGTGAAGCACGTTCCTATTGAAGATTCAGTTGGTAATTGTGGTTTTCTGGCTTGGGCATGTACATAATGTACATGTACATACATAGTCCATTGGTTGGAATTCAGTCTTTTAAAAACCACATTTTTAAAGGTTTTTCCTCCGATAATAAATTTTCTTTGTCTTATGTTCTTTATCTACTCCCGTGCATGTACATCATTTGTGATGCGATCAAGCTAAATGAGTCGTTTGTCGAGAACTTTCATTTGGAGATTCAGGCTAACATACATAGGACCACTTCATCACATCACATTGCTTGGTGTTCTGACTTCATAACTTTGGAACTAAAGATGGTGTCAGCATAGGGTTTTCACATCAGTAATGCTGAGATTGTGCTGTTTTCAAAACTGTAAAAAAACAACAACAAAAACAATTTGACCAGGATCGACGAGCGACTCATTTAGCTTGATCGCATCACATTTGTTCCCTTCGACCATGAGTGTTGTTAGCTTTGCATTGGATATTATTATGGAATTGTCCAGTAGAAAAAAACATAGCATTGCTATGTTTTCACTTGTGGTATGTACGGTACATTATGTGGTCGGTCTTGTTTTTTTTTATATTTTTGTCTGAAAAGCCCCAGAGGATTTATTCCTGCGGTGGATCTGAACTTTGTCTTGAAAGTGGCACTGGTCCCCCTGGGTGCCCATATCGCTGTCGTCTGGTCAGGAATGTTGTTATTACAGAAAGTAACAAAAGAGGGATCACATTTTCGCAGGGCTATTATTTCAGCATGGGTCTGTGTGTACTTAAACAAACCTCAAAATCTTTTGTAAGAGTTTAATCTGATCTGAAGCCCTAAATAGTAGCGCTGAGGATTAAGTCCCACAGCATAACACAATGCTGCCATAACCTTGTACTTAATTTTGTGTGCGTGTTTGAAGAGTGTGTGTATTCGGTTTTTCTTTTTATCATGCATAATTATTGAACCTTGAAATAAGACTTCTGGTGCCACCACAGTGATGCCACAAACGGAGCGCAGGCACCCAAAACCACAAACCCCCACTTGACAATTCCTAGTTCCCATGGAGCTAGCCTTGTGAAGTTTCTTTGGTTTCCTCTCCTCTGTTGTTTGAAATCGACACCCTTTCTCTCTCTACCTCTGCGCTATTTTTATCATCTCAGCTGGTTCAGGCCCTGATCCTGTGACTGCCCATGTCAAGAATGCCTGGCATTTGTTGTCTCTCTGAGAAGATTTTGTATTTAGGAGCCTGTTGCGCGGCGGAATTGTGGGGTTACGGCCTGAGCAGTTGGTGTCTATGGGATGCTTCCTGTGAGCTGTGGAGCTTGGGTCTTGCAGAATTCTTTGGTCAGAAAAACTAGTTGCATAGAGCAAGGAACAGCCGTGAACCGCAGTAAACCTCATTTTTATGTTCGGTGGTATTGCTGGTTGGAGTTTTATCAAGTGCATGTACGGTACCAGCAGAAGTGAAAAATATTTGAAGAATTGGGGCAACTCTGAAATATACTGAATGTGGAATCACTGTGCTCCTTGGTCATGAACAAAGCAAAGGACAACATGAGATTACCAGTACAGTTAGGTTTCAGATGCAGGTACATATATGTCAATTGCTGTTAATTATTTAATTTTAAACACTTTTTTAAACTTGCTAACTCGCACATCTTTTTCAATCATTAATTAACAGTTTGTGAAATATAAAATCACATTCATGTATTTGTACACTCTCCTGCTGTTTAAAGAGTCACAGGCTGGTCACCAACAGTCCGATCATATTTCAAGCAAGCATTGACTAGTCAAATTCAGGTAACAGACGAAAGCAGAACGAAAAGTGGGCATGCCGCGGCTGGCTTATCAATCACCTACAGTCAAAGCATACATAAACAGTCACAGAGAGTCAATCCTGCTTTATGTAGGCTGGGAGCTCTTAAACTGTTGAAAACCAGTCACTTGATTGATTTTGACTGAAAGGACAACTTGGCGCAGAATGTGTGTTTGCATAGTGAGGGTTCATAGAAACCAGATTGGGAGACCTTTGAGATGTATGGTGGCAGCAAACAGGCCAGTCCTTTTCAATTGTTTGCGTCATGTTTAAGCTAATGTGCGCATATCCAGAATGACGCAAACAATAGAAAAGGACCATTTACTTTGCTGCCACTGAGCGTCTCCCATTACTGAACGTTTTCCCATCCTCCCAATTTGACATTGACATTAGGAATTTACCCATGAGTTTGTGAGAAGTGCAACATCTAATAAGGGCATTTTTGAAGTTGGCTCTTCTCGCGAGAGGCTGTTTTCATGGGCGATACATGAGCAACTTGAAAAACATGAAACACTCAACCAAAAACAAACCAACAAACAACACATGGGTACCGTATCTGTAGCATAAACATTGTGATTTTCTTAAGTTATGTATTTGATGATCGAAAGATGTACATACCATACATGTAATTTTCCAAACTAGTTTTTGCATTATATTGACAATCAGAAAAGTTATAAGTGAAGGTGCGAAAACTCACCAGAGAATTGTTTTTCTTTCTTTTTTCCCCTACAATGCAGAGCCAGGCAGACAAGACCCCAATCATGGCACAACCCTGACGGCAGTCAGACGTCGAAAGATCCTGGCTTCAAACCTTCCCAAAATCCTGTAGCCCAGACCCTGCCCCGGACAGCCCCTCAACTACCCCCTCACCAACAGACTGGATCCCGACTGGGCCCCTCACCTTCAATGGATAGCCTAACAGGAATGCACAAGAGGCCGCTGACTCATGTCAGCACCCACTCCATGAGTAACCTGGGTGATTTCAAGAATCCGACAGAGCGGGATTCTGGATATGTCAAGAGGCGGGCCTCAGAGTACGATTACATCACCTCCAGCAATTGCGAGCTCAATAGCATGGGAAAAGACAAAGACTTTTACTTTGTCAGCGGTGATAAGAGAGGACCGCTCACGTCTGTCAATCCCAATTTGAGGGATGTCAAATTGCAGCCAGCTGAGACATACCCCCAAGTTGCTATTGCAACACAGTTGAAATCACAGTTGAAATCAGCTCAACAAAAAGCTTTCATTGGCCGCGTGCCAGATACCATTACGACTCCTGAATCACCGCCCCAGACTTACAGCTCTTCCCAAGTCGTAGTACATATGCCGCAACGCCAGTTAGCAAGGACAGTTGAGGTGACCAACTCGCAGCAGTGGAGGCCAGATTCACTAATATCTCCCACTTCAGGACATCCCGTGTACCGAGCCACCACCAGAATGTCCCCGTCGCCTACGCCGAGTGAAAAACGGGAACCTCCAACACCACCCCAACGTGGTGATTCAAGAAATAGAACTCAGCAGATGAATGATCATAGGCGCAGCAATAACAATGGCCTTCCAAGGTCTGTAGTGTCACCCACAGACATTCCTCAGCTCGGCCCTAAGCAAGAACAATCAAGACCCAACCACAGGAAAAGTCATTCAATGACCGGAGAGCCAGAATCGTACACCTATGGTGGAGGACTCCTTCCATCCAACTTTTCCTCCTCCACAGTGTCACCAGGACATGGAGAAACTGTTGGAGCAAGGACATTCCCAGGAAAGGCCAAGAATGTTGATTGCCTGTACACCGCAGTGCCTTTGTATGTGGATCCTGGATCTGATGATCCTGATGCGGATTTCTTTCCCAGATCAAGTCCCCAGAATATACCAGAGAAGCAGCAAAGCTCCGAGTATCGGCCACAGAGTTCTCCCCCCACCAGAGACGTTGTGGACAGCATCACTAAGGATTCTGATCCTCTTGTTTCAGCATTGGAGATGTATATGCGGACAGTGGTTGACCAAGAGGAACAGCTGCAGGGAATTAATCCAGAAGATTCATCAACAGGGTCGGAATCCCCTGTCCACCATCCACGCTCTACACTTTACAGTGATAATGACAGGCAGCACAGTCAGACTCTGCCCACGTATGTAGCAAGGAACGAAGAGCCTGAGAGCAGAACTTCAGTTTCCTCCATGGATTCCCACTCCAGTAACAGCCACCGGGTGCGGTCTCCCACGAATCGCTTGTCTTCAGACGAAGAAGAGAACAACAGAAAGAACAGCCAACTCGGGAGTGTAAGCCACCGCAGTTGGAAGAATCCCAATGACTTCTCCAGCAAGAAAGCAGTGAGTGATTCTGAGAAGCAATGGCACAAGATAGTGTTATCTGTTGAGCCCAAGTTGTACGATAAGTATCCAAACTCTGAGGTATCAACCGACCCGAAAAGCGAAGGGCACGTGAGAACTGCCAGTCAGATTGATGAGAAGCTCATCCACGGAAATGCTCCTGGGATACGCTCTCCTATAAGCCCACTTATGATGGAGGCTGTCACATCAATCGAACCTCCAAAGACTGAAACAATGACCGAAGCCCAGCAGAAGGACTTCAAATTCCTGAAGACTGAAGGACGAGATAGCGGATATGAGGTAGATTCTGAAAACCCCATCCGGTCCCAGCAGGAATCTCCTGTCCAAACTATAACTGAGCCTTTTTCAACAGATGACTGGATGAAGATGCACGCTGCGGAATCGACAGGGGGCACCTCGATACTCTCTCAGCTGCAAAAGGAGACTCCCTATAATCAGCGGTACACAAATGGTGAGCCAATAATGAAGTCAACAGTCAACCATGAGACCAAGGTGGAAATCAAGATTGACAGACCTTATGGCAGTCCCACTAATGAAAGGAGCAGGAAGTCGCCAACCAGATCAGATACAAGTACTACCCAGGCCAGGAACTCGAGACCCCAGCCTTTCTGTCCACCAAAGAGCAGAGATGACTTCATGAAGGACATGAAGAGTCCAACCAGTCAGGCCTCTAACGATGAAAGGAGTACCTTCTTTGGGAGCCAGCCACAGCTGAGCAGACCATCAGGTAGTGACAAATCCAGCCGTCACTACCACAGCAGCTCTCTGGATCTAGACACTAAAGCAACTGGTGCTCAGCTCCTCACCCAATCCAGCTTCCCTCCTTGGAGGCCACCAGAAGCAAGTGACGATTCCGTATCCAATGTGTCACACACAAGGAGTCATTCCTACAGTGGAGGGGGCTACCCAAGCTATTCAGGACCATCTGAGCCGCGATTCAGCCGAATCGATGAAGAGCAAGGTGGAGAGTCATCCGAGTCAGCTTCCAGTTCGCACCCGACTATCAGACCTGAACAGAGATCAGTCAGTGGTTCTTTCAGATCACAAGGAAGCTATGGAGGTGACACCAAAGGTCACAGACATGGCACTTCTGATCCAAATAGTGGTGATCCTCCAACCCGACAGGCATCACTTGAATCAAGGGGAAAGTACCCACAAGGAGACACTGACTATTGGCACAGTAAATCTAAATCAGACTCTGAGCGGCATCGTAGGAGGTCAGCAACTGACCAGTCGCATAAGAATTCAGATCCTGGTGGTGCTTACAGCAAATCACATATCAAAGAAGCTTTGGCTGGATTTTATGTGAGTAAGAGAGGTCCCATGCGTTCAGAGGGGAGTGACTTTGGGTCCAATCAGGGCACAATCTCTGGTTACGAATCCATGGTGTCTCTGGATCAATCATCTCTGTATTCCTCATTGTCCTCACTGCACGGGAGGCAGGGCTGGGGTATGGACACCGGTGGACACTCACAGGAGTCATCATTCTCCAGCCAGATCTCACATGGCCACAGAGACTCCGGGATTGTGTCTCCATCTGAGTCCTCATGGTGCCCACCTTCCCCCAACACATCTCCACCTGGCGCAATGGACCACAGACTGCGAACTCAGCACAGGACCTTGGGACAAGACTACAACCACCAACGTGCTGCCAGTGATAGCGTCCAGCGTACTGGAAGAGGCCGCGACACAAATAGCCTCGGAAGAAGCTCTCGCTCCATGTCTGACGAAAACCGGCCAGCAAAGAATTTGGGCCGCTCGCCCTCCATGAACCATCCCAGCAGGCCACGGCCCCAGAGCTACCACGAAGAATTCAAAAGCCGAGATGGCCCTGGGAGGGGCTTGAGCCGGACTGAGACGTTCTCCTTGGGCCAGGGACGCAGTGGGACTCCCGCCAGACACGCCCCCAGTTCTTCAGCAACTTTGCCAGCTGGGGGCTATCACAGCAATGGTGTTAGACCATACTATCAGTCCCAACCCATCAAAGCAGGGTCTCCTAGTGCCAAAAGCCAGAGGTCGCCAGAGACTGAGAACGTTGATGACATGCCTCCTGAGCTACCCCCTAAGCAGGTGACACACAAATCTTACAAGGTGTCCTTGGTTTGCAGTTTTTTTATTAATGTTATTTTGTAGCTTACCTTAACATCACCTCTATTTAAACATCAACCCTATTTTAACATCATTCCTTAACATCAATGTTTTGCAAAAAAATATTACTCAGCAAATTTGGCACATTAAATCAATCAACCAGCCAATAAGCCAGTTTGGTATCTCGATGAGATAGTCCATGTCAAAAGTCATTCGGGAGAAAATCGCTGGCGTGATGATACGCGACGTTACGCGGACGCCCATTCTGCTTGTATATTAACACGTGAGCGTCATGCGCCCGTCTCTCTGCGCATTCATGTGCCTTCTGTGAGCGTTTGATTATCCCTAATGACCCGTGACCCATATCATTGTGCGCATGCGCAGTTGAAATACCAAACTGGCTTATTACAAGCAATTACGTGCCATTTGTCCCGTAGGCCGGTTTTGTTGAAAATGGCTGCACTTGGATGTTCCATGGAAATTGATCCCCAAACTCCTTAAGCTTCCTGTAAATTTCTCTCCAAAAAAAAAAATTACCAGAATTTCAAGTCCTTTCTGCTGCTTGCTGTGAAGGATGCAATGTTTATTTACGTTTCCCACTTCTTTTTTTTTTTTCTTTTGTGGAACCCTGCTTACCTTTTCCCAGGATTGTTTGGAAATTCTAAACTTGAATGGGTTATTGCATTTCCTGGCATAAAAGCTGATTACATTACCCCATTGAAAAAAAGTAGGACTTTTCTAAAGTAGGATCATACGATGTCAATCGGTAGTGCAGTATCCCCTTGATGTGTTGCCAGAACTGCCCTTTATTTTTTTCAGTGTAATGTCTAAAAAAAGTTGCCATCTTGTTGAAGTTGAGTTTTGTCACAAATGTGCGTGAAAAGCACAGTAGAAAGTTCATGGTCCACACTCACCAACTGAGGGCGCTCTCAAATCACTGTGGGTGTATAAACTTAATAGCAAGTCTCAACACTCAGTAATGTTCCTCTTATTGCAATGTACAGAGTGAGTAAAAAAAAACTCATCCCAAATGGCAGGACCATTTTGTGAATGAAGTTTTACCTGTAGCACTTGCAAAATCTAGGATAAGAAAGCCCAGTCATTAAGCTTTCATTTAGTACAAGAATCATTCAGACCACTTGGACTTTACGGAATTTGAACACAAACACTGTTTTAAAGTTCTGTCCATGGATCACAAGAAAAGCAAGTGTTCCTTCAGCAAAACGAAAACAATTCTCATAGCAAATGCATGTGAATTGTTTTTGTTTTGCTGAAAGAACACATACTTTTGTGATCCTTGGACAGAACTTTAAAACAGGGGTTTGTGTTCAAAATTCCGTAACTTGAAAAGTACATTAGTGATTTGAATGATTCTTGTACTAAAAGAAAGCTGATTGATTGGACTTTCTTATCGTAGAGTTTGAAAGTGCTACAGGCAAAACTTCATTCAAAAATTGGTCCTGCAATTTGGGTTTCGGTTTTTTTTTACTCATCCGTTATTGACCACATGTGGGCCACCACTACCCACAGAAATAACTAGTAAAATAATCCAAGATTTTGACATATTCTGTGTGGTCTGTCCCCCTCCTTTCCATCAGATCAAGGAAGCTCACCTGAAGACGATAGCCAAGGTGGATTCCAGACACCTGCAGGAGGAAGAGACAGGGAGCCGGACTCGTGACAGTGAACGGGAGAGGAAGAACTCAGCACCGGCTCGGTCCGTCTTCAGCTTCTCGCCTACCCACATGGAACAGCACAGGTAAGATAAAAAACTCTTTTTTTTGCAAGTTACAATTTGAATCATATCTTTTTTAACTTGGAATCCTTTTGGCTGAAGTCACTTCCTGTTAGCAGCAGAGAAAATATTGTTAATGTACCCAAATGTGGCGCGGCCCCTAAAAGTGGCGCACTGTGGTTTTTCGCCTCTAGGGCATCGCTAGAGCAAAAATTTTTACCTAAAATTTCATAGTCAGTGAAATTTCATCAAGTTCATAACATTCCTCTGTTCATAAATCCTAGGTTTACCTACCCGTAACAAAGTTAGCAGAGAAATTTATTTTGGCGCGATTTTCCGATTTTATTTTTAAGAGTGCACGGTCAACCCTTTGCAAATGCGTCCAAAAATAAGAACATAATTTTTGACAAACTTCTAGTTGGGTAGGCCTATGTAAGTAAAGATAATAATGGTTTATCAGAATTTATCAACTATCAAAAGAAATTCTGAAGTGTCAACTTGGAATTTTCCAAGAGTTGTTCAAATGCGCCACGTTAGGGAAAACTCAGCCGATTTTCTGTGCAGTTTCCGGATGCCACCGTTTTTGAATTCCGGACTAAATTTCAAGACACTGAAATTGTTCACGAAGGTTCAACAGCAAGCATTATTAAGGTAATAGTACAGTATTTAACTGAACAAACTTGAAGTTTTGCAACAAAAGAAGTTTGGCAACACTACATGAAGAAAATCGAGGGAAACGTCTAAGTGCGCCACGTTAGAGAACACCACTATACCTGTACTTCAAATAAATCATGTGTACGTGACTCATTTGTTTACAACCTACAAACAATTTAGGGTCACATGTCCGTGCCCTGATTCCCCTAGATTGCCCTGCATCGAGAAAATACATGCATTGCAGTGCTTTATTAAAAAAGGAAGTTTCTGTACCAATGGAGTTGCAATAGCGCCCTCTATTGAAATCTGTCACATTCTACATCATGTACATGTACATGTACACATGTGCATTGGTATTAGAAAGGCCAAAGGTTTTATATGTATTTGGTGCAGCAGAATGCGGTGATTTGAGTTTAATGTACAAGATACAGAAAGCAACAGCCTGAGTTGATTGAATTCATTGACAAATCTTTAAATATTGAGAAAAACCATGTCCAGTGGCTTATATCGTCAATTAGTTAGTCTGATAATCATTTGCAACACTTGATCAAAATTATACCAGTACACTGTGATACATCCTTTGAAAAAAAAAAACCTGCATACAGCCTGACCCCATTATCCCACCACACCCCTAAGCCCCTCTAGATCAACCCTCCAGCACTGTAATAGGATTAAGACCAGTCTCAGTTCAAATGATGACTCATTGGGGATTCCCCAGTCTACCCTAGGCCCCAATTAATTATGCAAATGAGACACCTGCTACTGACAGTGGACATCCTATTTAGCCTAATCACAATACCTGTTTTGCCAGCAGCAGCATTAGACTGATCATGATTCATAGGCGTGGTCGCACTGTCATGGTTCACTTCTCGCAGTCCAATAGCAATTTTGTGAATGCGTCTTGAACTGTGTTGCGTATGACTCATGGTGCATATGAAGCCATACAAAATGAGTTTTTAAGTTTTCTCTATTGCGTGAGCAGGGAATTCAAATGTTGAGCGCTTTAATTGTTAATGTATCCAAATCAATTTTATGGAAACCTAAGAGAATTACATGTATGATGACCACCTAAGTTATATTCAGTGTATAATAAAGAACATTATTTTGCAAAATACTATAGAATCTATAGAAATTTACAGATAACTGTTTAAATCGTATAAGGCTCAGAAAAGGGAGGACAATTGTAAACAAAACAAAAATCATACAAAAATGTGAAAACAAACACGATTTTAATAAGTCTTACCAGTATTTTTTCATACTTTACAAATGTATCGTTGTTTATTGTTATGCATGAGTGACTTTTGAATACATGCATCAGTGACACAGTGTTATGAATATGCATAGCCGAGTGACTCATAGGCAACACGTAGCTGCCTGTAGTACATGCACAATTCATACACATCCATGTATACATGTCATTCTGCTCTCTAAAGCGCGCAGGCAATTAGCTTTATTCATCATGCCTGCCAACCAAGACATGCACTTGTGTCGTCTGTTTTCTCGGAAGCTTAGCAGTGATTGGCTGGGGCATTAATTGAACTTGGGGTCAGGGGAGAGTCAAGCGTTGCAGATGTGCATTTATGCATTGGACGCTTCGTACTGTTGCATCCCGTCACTACGTGCCACAACTGGATGGCTTATGGGTCCTGAAGTAATTGAGATCTGTGTTTTGTGCAAGGGTGCGATAGATACTTGAAGTGTGTTATTTTTGAATGCGAACCGTAGAGTGGTTGAGGTAAGATGCAATGTTGGCTTTGTGACATGTTGGTTTTTTTTACTTGTGTGTTTCATGGCTCAATCAGGGTTTTTTTCAAAATGTTAAAAAATCTGTTCAAATTTATTGTCAGCTTGTACTTTGATATGTGCTGCTGCCTTTATTGCTGCCTGTGTGAGGCAAAAATGTTTGGATCAAAAGTTTTGTTGTCGATTGGCTCAGCCTGATATTTTTATTGTCTGGACTGTTTTTATTAGCAAGTTAACTTCTGAATTATGATCGATCATTTTACAGCCCATTATAGCAGTTCAGTGAATGACATTTACTGGCTGTTTGTGGTGATCAAAACTGTAAGCAGTGAAGTCATATTTGATTTAGTTTTGATCATTGAATGGCAATCTCTATCACCAGGTACCCATCTCCGAAGACATCCCCTACCTTATCAAGCAAGGACTCGTCGCCAACCACTCAAGCCCCAACGAGACCAAGAACGAGGACTTCTCCCAGCATCTCCACGACTGTTCACGACACATCGCCAGCCCAACTGGCCAAGGCAAGGTCCTCGCCTACCCTAGGCCACAAGGAGGCTTCGCCGACCCATCAAGTGACCACAAGACCAAGAACGAAGACTTCTCCCTTGCCTGTCAGCAAGGAGACGTCCGTGACTCGCCAAGCGGTACAGAAGAACAGGTCCTCTCCTCCCCCGTCGTCCGGCAAGGAGAGGTCCCCAACTCACACAGCAGAACGGAGGAACAGGTCCCCTCCCTTGCCGCCCAGCAAGGAAGCATCCCCGACCCACCCGGCGGAATCCAGAACTAGGATCTCACCGACTCCGTCTACCACATCCTCGACTCAGTCATCTACACCGAGAGCAAGGACCTCCCCTCCCCCGCTTACCAGAAAGGATTCACCTCCTACCTATCAATCCCCACCCGCACTGCGGCCGAGGACCGACAGCTTTGTCTTGCCCCCTCCTCCAACCCCTCCTGCTGTGCCTGTTCCGGAGGACGTGGAGCTACCGTCACCCCCTCCAGAGGTACTTCTAGACTACCCCATCACCCAGCAGGAGGACAAGCCAGTGTTTGAAGAGCAAGTTCCCAGGAGGTAGGTTTCAAAGTAATTTCTGTGTGCAATAATGTGTAATTGAGATTTAAAGATGTATTGAGTTGGATCACTTTACTGAAATGAAATCCCAATGCTGCCTGAACAGGATTAAAACTAACATTATATGGAAGAAGCACCCAGCAAATTAAAGTCTTGCTTTGGAAAAAAACAACCTGCAAACCGCCTCAATCAAAGAATAATGGTTTAAAAGTATGTGGTCTGATGTCTTGATCAGAGGCTTGCATCGAATCACTTGGTCTGCTTTGGTACCATGTACTTTTTTCCCCTTCCCAACCCAAACACCACCCCAATTTGGCCCACCCAGCTACCCGTGCATGGACATTATCCGTGTGCCTCGGGGAGTGTATAGTACTTTCCCCCACCCATGACCTGTGCCTCGTTATGTTACCGGCCAAGTACCCCGGCTGCGTTTGATGCTCTGCAATGTTCAGTTTCCGTATTAACCTTAGGGTCCTCACAATCCTCCGTAAATCCATCAGCTACTCTCCTAGGTTGGTCAGCGAAATCTCAAGTGTGCTATTTGGTTGTAGATATGGCCAAAAAAAAAGTGGAAGTTTCTATGTGGAGTGGTTCAGATGTCTGTGTTAAAATTTACGCTGGCTTATATGGTGATTAAAAAAAAAAGTGGGGGGGAAACAAGTCAAAGATTGGAAGGTTATAGAAAAATGTAAACACAGTAAATGCACATGTAAAACAGAAACATGTCCAATTGCACAATGTACGTGTAACTCCATGGTCGGAAAGAATGTAGTATCCAGACGCCACTTCTTTGGTTGTATAATGTCTATGGAGAGTTGAGTACATTTTGAAGCACTTTTTTAACAAATTTGTAATGTTGTCTGTCCCAAATTCCAGTCTATTTCAACATTTTTTGCAATGAGTGACCTTCATTGAGATAAAATACGATGCAAAAAGTGGCAACATTCTTTCCCTTGTTCTATTTCCAGCTAATTAAATGTACACAAGATTTGCACCTTGAGAAATGCTCAGAATTTTCTAGGAAGATGGATTAGAGGGTGACATTCTTTTGAGGATTAAGGAGACTGTGCATTTTTTCTCACATTTTTGATATCCTGTTTCCTTGTAAAGCCTTCATGAGAATGATTGCTGCACTGTTTATTGTTATGGTTGGAATGTTTGTTTGGATATAAAACTGGACCACTTTTATCTGTGGGTTTAAACAAACACAGACCGAAAATGAGCACATATTCACATGCAATGTACATGTATGCACACATGTACTTTTCACAAAGCTAATATTATGCGGCATTTAGTGTGCACGGTGTATTACATTACGTACACGTTTACACTGAAATTTGTTGAGTTTAAACGAAAAAAAAAACCAGAAAATGGCTAGAATAAATTCTGAAAGGGAAATTCACTTTCGGAAGCGTTACATACATTTATAATAGCTTTGATAAAATTAAAAAATCTAAATATCCAACCATCCTGGGTACTTGATAATGTTACTTAGATTTGTTATATCGTGTGCTAGGATACTGTAATTTTATTGGTCGAGAGGGGCCACGTCTCTAGTCTGTAAAAACGCATGTACATGTACAATGGCTAACCTCATCATATACAATGCGTGTTGCACGCGCGCGTGTAGAACCTTGCAACCGAGCTGCATGCAATGAACACGCAACCGCTCAGATCAGTCTCGTGTCCGGCAGAAAAGCCTGCAGTTATCAAGGGTAGCGATGCACTGGTTTCATGTATTTTGTGCGTTGGAAGTTACAACCGTATCGCCTCGGATGTTGTGCCCCCCTCGGGTGCTAAAAAAACGCATATCCCACATCAAATCAGTCAACAATTGTTAAACATTTACCCAGATACAAGAGTGCTGTAGGAAATCAAGTGACAAAGTTCCTCTAGTGTCATGTTGTCTTGCATTTTCAATTTACATTCATAAAACTGCATGTTGAACATAGAGTTATGTACAACTTCTGCGCACATGCAAAAAGGATCAGTTTGAAGTGCTGATCATTGGCTGTAAATAGCAGGAAATTCCCAAATCAATAATTTTTAGGTACTTTGCATAACTGGCATATACTCTTTTTTATGAAGCGTTAATCATGTGGGCGGAGCCATGTTTGCTTCCAAAAATAGTTTGTGTTATTAATAGCAGTTGTCTCCCGTTGGAATGCAGGCCAAGCTCTGAATTCCTGGCTATTGTTATCAGCTTCTGAATATTTGCCATCTACAGTTTGATGAACTCGCTACATCGCTGCGCAGTTCATTATCATTATTGTACTGACTGGACAGTCAATAAATGTCAATTGGGTCTCTCTTGTTAGCAGGCTAAGCACTTAAGTGGGTCAGCCGTTAATCATTAACAAGCCGCTTTTAAGGTTATTTTACATGGTGATTTATGACTGTGGAAACAAATATTGGACCAAATTCTTGAAAAATATTGTGAAAACGCACTACTTTACCCTAGCACTGCTGAATTACCAGTTAAGCAATCTAAATTTCTTCTTCTTTTGTTGTTTTTGACATTTTTGGGGTCTTGAAACTCACATTCATTTCTCTTGTATCCTTTTAGTAATTTCAACGAACTGTTGGAAACAAATTTAGCAGAAACATCAGAAACAAGTATTCTCTGTCCTGTCGATGGTGAATCATGCTAGATTCCTCAAAAAGAAATGATGAAAAGATTTCTCTTACTCTTAGTCTTAAATATCCGAATATAGTGAGTCAGTTCTTTCTTTCTTATATTTCAATTCACGTTCCGAAGAAACTGACAATTCAGTGTCTTCGTTTCACTGATCACATCGTAGAGGGAGGAAACATGATGTAAACACTCTGGTTCCGAGAATCAATCTCCATTGTTGTCTTGCTTATTACATTTGAAAAGGGGAAACCTTGCAATGACGTACTTTCTTAAAGACAGAACAAAAAAGAAACAAATGACAAGGAAGTTATTTATTCAAGAAACTGTAAATAAGGCAAGGACACACAAATTGAATAGAGGGGTGGATGTGTACATTACAATTCGCCTCGTGTTAAGTGCGTGTTCCTGCCCGTCAAATGTTGTTTTTAACTGAAGGAAGCGAAAGCTCTGAAATCCAATCTTCCATTCTGTGACAATTTTCACTTGGTGAACTATAAATAGCACTTGGGCATCCAAGCAAGCGGTAAATCTCACCCTCGTCAGGAGTTGCTTCCCACCTCCTCCCCTCAGACCGAATGGTACAGCCTCTCAGGACCGTGTTTTCTCTTTCTTCGTTTTCTTTTTCCTTTTTTGATCAATGGTTCTCAGTAGAAATGTCGCTTCTGTCGGGCTGGCTGTGTCCGTATAGGGAGTTCCAGTTCTTTGCTGCTTAACAAGTGTTACAGCCGGTTGACTGCCCGTGGGCTGAAGTCTTTCAAGATCTCTTCTTTTTATGGTTGGGAAGACAGATTGTATGCTTAGTGTTATCCTGAAAGTAATGTAATCGGAAGAGGCGGGACTTATTGTGTTGAACTCGGTGGTGCCTCAGATGCGGGCTAGATGTAGCAGGAAAAACAACTTGTAGAAAGACATCTACGTGGACATATATGGTTAAGGTGGGCAGATCTCGGTCTCTTTCTAAAATATTTAAGGTACAAGAACAGGAAGAAAAACTGACTTTATTTATCATCATTGCTTCGGAATTTTTGGATATCGTCGAGGCCTTGCTTGCTCTATGGTTCAAGTATCGATGCGAGTGTTTCAGCTTTCCAGAAGACGCTTCGGTATTGGTGCCAAGGACTGGATGGAATGATATTCAGAGTTTGTTGTTGGGGCTGTCTGTGCATTGCAGCGTTGGAATGACAGGCAGAAGGAGATGCCATATTCAGGTGTGTTTATACAACGCAGGCAGAAGGCGTTGGATGTTGTGACTAAAATAACACTGTCTTATCAGGAGGACAGATAAGATGATATATGCAGTGACAGGAATATGGGACACTGAGTGGAGAGATACATGTAACAGCCATTCTGGACTGCATCGCTGAGTTCGAAGTCATTTCTCCATCCAACAAGATTGGCACTGCGGAGTGCTCTTCACAGCTGATAACATTTTATGATGTTGTAATGACCATCTCGATAAACCCCACTGCCATGTCACCACTTTCAACATCCCCCTAACTCGTCAGGGGGTTAGACCATAAATCCTTCAGGATTGAAGTGTTTAAAATTTACCTCTGGGAGGTGTCAACACTGCAGTAATGGGAGATAGCTGCCTGCTGGGAAACACATGCTGGGGAGACAAGATACTCTAGAACACCCTGCTGTGGGAATGAGAACGGAGTGCCAGCTATCAGACAAAAAAACTGTCAGATTGTAGTGAGTCCTGTGGGCAGAGGAAGTTCCATTTACAGGGTGGGTCAACCTGCAAAAGAGCTTGCGGATACCCAGGAATGTTTTCCTAGTAATCGGAGAAGTATTTTTGAGACTTCCGGTGGGAGACTGTCAGAGACGGGCTAGCCCCAGATATCATTGTCATCGGGTAGTGAACTCTACGTTGTGAATCACGACGAATGATATTGTAACATTTCATCACCCGCGAATGCCCTGACATGAACCATCTCTGAGAAGAAGCACTAGTCATGTACTGTCATGTTGAGTAGCGGCAGATCGAATTCTGGAGTTGTTGCGATCACTGTTCTTCTTAAACTGCGAGGTTACATTTGTGCTTGTGTGAATTTGGAGTGATCGGTTAGGAGCTGGCAGCACAAGCATTATCATCCCTGTTTGAGGTTAGTTTTTTGTGTATTTATAAAGTTGGTCAATTTGAAGCTTAATTTTCAGCTGAGGTAGATGATTCGCAGGAGTTAAATCTGTATAAATTTGTTTGATATTTGTAGATTTATTTCTCAGATTAAGAAGAATCTTAGGGTTATTTTTGCCTTTCTTCCCCTGGTTGGTATATGATGTTGTTGCACTTCAAACATGAAGATTAAAGAGCACTGAATGTCATTCTGTCGATCAAAAACACAGTTTTGTGGGCAAAATC